GGCCCGGGGTCCGGGGCCTGGGCTGGGCCGCTAACGGAGCCGGCCACCAGCCAGCCCGTCCGGGGCCACGCCCTCTCTGGCCTCAGTTTCCCTAGCTGTAAAGTGACCCGGCGCTTCTGGGCTCACTCTGCCCTGACCCCACTAGAACAGGCCCGAGACCGGTCAGGGAGGAATCCCGGACTTCGGCCTCACTGCCGGGGTGGATTAGGTTGACTTGAAGGCTGTGCCCCACGTGTGCGCTGCCCCACTCTTGGGGGCGAGGAGGGGAGGCCGAGAGTGTCCCAAATGCCCAATCCCGGGACCTCGTGCCTCTGGGGAAATGCGGGAGGGTGCCAGGACGGCAGGTCAGCTGGAACGGGCTTCCAAGGAGCAGGAAGGCTCGGAGGGGACTCCAGCGTTCACTAGGCGCCAGCAGCTACACTCGCAAAAGGGGGGCCTGGCTGGGGTCTGGGAGAAGAGGGGCACACCTTGCCTGGGTCCCATCTCGAGCTGGGAGCAGACACCAGCCAGAGGAGGGGTGCTGTCTAGGATGGGCTGTGACAGCTTGAGAGCCAGGACCCTCCCCGCTGAATGGCCTTGGTGGGCCCCAAAACCCAGTCGGAAGTCCACCGGGAGGCAGATGGCCCCCGTATGGAGTGAGTGACGGAGACACAGACCGCTTTCTCCTGCACACGCACAGCTCGCTGCGGGTGACTCCCACCCCGACCCCTTCCTAGCCAGAAGTTCCTCCAACAACTGCCCCTCCCCCATTCCAGAGGCCCAGAGTTGATAATAACCCTTTTGTAAAAGTGAGACTCTTTTGAGTTACCTTCCTGAGGCTGCTAAGTATTGGAGTCGGGGAGCGTTTTTATTTTCAGCCAGAGCGAGTTCAGCTGGCAGCGGGAGGCGGGTGGGGGAGGAGATGCACACAGAGGCAGCAGGTTCGGCCCTCAGCCCTCAGCACAGAGTCTGCAGCCAAAACTGGAGCTCCATCCCTGCCTCCTGGGGCTGACCAAGAGAAGGACAGTCCTCAGAGGAGGACTCTCTGCGGCCAGCCGCGGTGGCTCACACCCGTAATCCCAGCACTTCGGGAGGCTGAGGCAGGCAGATAATGAGGTCAGGAGTTTGAGACCATCCTGTCCAACGTGCTGAAACCCCATCTCTACTAAAAATACAAAAAAGTAGCCAGGTGTGGTGGCGTGCACCTGTAGTCCCAGCTACTCGGGAGGCTGAGGCAGAACTGCCTGAACTTAGGAGGCGTAGCTTGCAGTGAGCAGAGATCTCACCATTGTACTTCAGCCTCAGTGGAAAGAGAAGAAAGGAAGGAGGGAAGGAAGTGAGGAAGACAGGAAGGGAGGGAGGGAGGAAAAAGGAAGGAAGGGAGAAAAGGAAGGAGGGAGGGAGGGAAGGAAAGGAGAGAGAGAGAGAGAAAGAAAGAAAAGAAAACCCTCCCCCTGCATGGGCACTCACTCCTCAGGCAGGGGACTCCCCATTCCTGCCTCTCCCCTGGGCACCTCTGCTCCTTCGAACCTTGGTCTTTGTCACCCCAGGAAGGGCCCTACCTCAAGGGGGCCAAGTCAGAGGCCCAGTGGTCTGTGCCACCTGAGTAAAATGCGTGACCCAAGGGTTGTCCCCAGAGCCTGGCTGGTGTCTGTCTCTCACCCAGCAAACCTGCACCAGGGGCCACCTGGGGCTCCCTCTGGGAAGGTCACACCTGCCCATTGCTCCCCCAGGAAGAGTTCCTGGTATCCACCCACCATCCTGGGCTCTGCCATGCAAGGATGGAGGAAGGAGTTCAGGGAGGAAGCAGAGGAGGAGAGGGCCGGGAGATGGGGCCAGCAAGTGACCAAGGGTAGGGGGTGTGGGAGGGAGCAGGGTACCCTCTCATGGAAAAGGCAGTGACATGGCCAGGCTGTTCTTGAAATGCTGGGACCTCCTGCTTATTCTACACTGGCTGTCTCCAAGGAGGCCTCCCAGCCTTCCCAGCCGGGTGCACCCGCTGGTGCCTGCAACCCACTGTGGGCCCCACGCTCCAGTCCTGTCTTCGTCTTGGCATGAGCTGCCCTCCCCAAAGACAGGGATCTCCCCGTGGGCAGGGCCAGCCCCCTCTCCTCTGGACTCCCAGAGTGAAAGCAGAGTCCTGTCTTCAAGAGCACCCCCTATCACGCCCCAGACAGAATGGCCAGGAGAGGACCCAGCCCCACGGCTGCTGCTGGGACTGCTGGGGTGCTCCATGGCCAGACGTTTCCAACAAAAACTCTGCCCACTCCTGAGCTCAGGGGCCTCCTGCCCTGTCACCTTCATACAGCTGCTGGCCGGGGGCAGGACTCGAGGGCCCTGGGTTGGGTAGGTCCCGGCAGCAGCTGCAGGGCGGGGCCTCAGGAGAGCTCCCAGGCCAGATGGCCGCCTGTGTCTGGAGAGGGCCCGCCTGAGCCACCACCACCGCAGAGACGGTGACTGTGTGCCGGTGTCCTGTCATTCCTGCTCTTGAGACCAGACAGCCACAGGGGCTCTGAGATGGCGGGCTGGCCCGGCTCCCAGCACCAACTCGGGGCTGCCTGGGACAGTCCCCTCCCTGATCAGTGTTGGGCAGGAGGGACTTGAATGCTGACAATCCTACCTGAGAGGTACAAGGAGCTTCTCTCCCACTGTCCCCTCCCCGTCCTCTACCCCTTTCCTAGCTGAGCGTCACCTTCCAGGTCCTGCCCTAGGCTCCTGCAGGCAGCATCCTGACCCTCCCTGTGTGCCACAACCCCCTCAAGTGTTCCAGGCTCTCTCTGTCTCAGCGGCCAGGCAGGGCAGGCTGAGGTGCTTGCTCCCAGCCTGGAGTGGGGAGTGTCAGCCTGTGGCCCAGAGCCCCTGTATGGCGGGCCAACCCCACCTGCTCTGAAGGCTCAGGGGCTACAGGTGTGGGCAGACAGGGCTGGACTGTCGCCACAGAAGATTCAGGATTAGGGATTGTGACACCATCGGTTACCACTCACGGAAGCAACTGTCATGCATTCACTCAACAAACATTTACCGAACACCCACTTTGCATCCTGCCAACTTTTAAGCACCAAGTGAACAAAACAGCTCATTCCCTTTCGGCAGGAGATGGGGCATTCCTCAATATCCCTCAACCCCAGAACATGGGAATGTGCTGGAGGAGAGGAGAGGCAGCCCAAGGGGTTGGGAGGGAGCTTAGCTAAGCTGTGCAGGACTGAGGAGCGGGCTCTGAGCAGAGACAGGATTTAAGAGAAGCCATTGAAGGGTTCTTTGGGGAACAGCGTTCCAGACCCTGAGAGCTTGCTGAGTGCCAGGGCCTGCAAATTTTCACAAAGACCCCGGGATGCACTCTGATTCCCATTTTACAGATGAGGATTATTGAGGTTCAAGGGGGTTAAGGGTTTGGTCCTGCTCAAGGCTGGGAGGGGCCGGGGCAGGGCTCTGATCCAGGCAGGGCCAGAAGGGAGCAGTCACATTTGGGTTCACCTTTAACTTATCTGAATTCAGCTATTCCTGCTGGTGGCTGGGGCAAGTCAGATGATTATTTAAATGGGTGGAGGGACGGGGCTTGGCTTTCCTCAGGAAGGGGTCCTCAGGGTGGACGGCCGGAGGTGTCCCTAAGCTGGTCTCAGTGGCTGTGAGTGCAGTGTGATTCCAGGGGTCCAAGCTTTGGTTGCCCGGTTTAGAAAATAAAAACGCAGGACATCCGGTGAAACAAGGAATGATATTTTAGTATAACGATGTGGCCTTCCTTCTCAGACTTCAGAAACTACTGTGGGCTCCACGCCCCTGCACACACATACCTGGCCAGGTCCTGTCCCTTGTCATCCCGCCCTCTTCCAGCACCACCCCCACCCCACTGCACAGCCTCGGCCGGGGCGACTCCTCCACTGCCTCCTCCATTGCGTGGGCTGCAAGGCAGTGCAGGAGACTGGCTGAATTCGAATCCCGCTTCCAGGACTTGCTGCCTGACACATGGCCCTGGGCACCTTACATAACCTCTCTCACCAAAAAGGTATACAGATAAGAGCAGCCAGTTAGTGAGACCGTCGTGAAGATGATCCAGTGTCTAGAGGAGCTCCAAACCTGCTCAGGCAAGGGCAGCCCAGGTTGTGCCCCTGGGAAAAGGCTCCACCTGCAGGGGAGGGACCCTAACCCCGCCTAACACACTCTCCACTTCTCTGCCGATTTCCCTCTCCCAGAACCAGATGTCCCCCTCACGTGGTTTCAAGGCTTCTTTGCCCTGGAACACTCCCCCCCTCCCCCGACTCCCACTCCTCCTTACCCCACTCCCATGCCAGCCCCTGGCCCGAGTCTCCTGTTTGAACTCATTCCTGCCTGCCCTGGGCTCCGGGGGGCTTCCCACTCCCTCCGCTATGGCGTTTGCCCCCCATCCCACCATGTCTGCTGGGAGGTGCCCGCTTTCCGTGCCTCTGCGCTGGGTGCCCCATAGACGCTGGGCTGAGTCTCTGGAGAGCGTGGAAGTCCCGGTTTCAGGATCGAGATCCTGTTTGAATGTTTGGAAGAGGGTCCCGGATGAATTAAATTCAAAAGGAGGCTTTGAAGGAAGAAGGAGGTTCATCTTTGCAAAATGGAACCGCTCCCCATCCACGCACCCTCTAACCCCATTCCAAGGCCGGCGCCCTGGGAGGTGGCGGGAGGCCGGGGTCCCGGGTGTGCCCTGGGTTGACTACCCAACAAGGGCCGGGATAGAAGCGGACCCTCGAAAGTGGTCCCTTTGCAGACGGGCGCAGTAAGGACCCCAGGCCGGGAGAGGCTGGGAGGTGGGGGACCCAGGCCAACTACTCAAGTATCGCGAGAGACCCCCAGCCCCCGCGCAGTGCCCTAAACCCCCCTTTTACCCTAACGCCCCCGCTGGCCGCGCGGTGCCCGGCCGGGTGGGGCAGACGGGGAAGCGGGGCGAGGGTGACCTCAGCGGTTCCGCCGCTCCGGGAAGTCGCTCGGCCCGCCTCCTCCGGCCCCAGCTCCGAGTTTCGCTCTCTCCGGGGCGGGGCGAGCGGCGGGCGGCGCGGGGCCAGCCAAGTTGGAGCGCGCCCCGCCCGGCGCCCTCCCAGTCCCCGCGCCCTCGCGGCCGGGCCGCGCCACCCGCAGCTCCACGCGCGCCGGGGCCACACTGGGGAGGGCGCGGGGCCGGGCGGCGACCGGAGAGGAGCTCGGGGCGGCGGAGGTGAGCGCGGGGGGCGGGCTCCAGGCTCTGCCCGCCCCGCCCCGCCCCGCGGCCGCGCTGCCATAAATGGGGCCGGCGGCGGCGGCGGCAGCTGGTGGGCCGGGCGGCAGCGGGAGGCGGCGCGGAGGCGCGGGGCGGGCGGCGGAGGCGCAGCCACCGGGGCGCCGGGGACGCCGCGAGCCGGCGCGCGGCCGCCTGGGAGTGAAGTTCAGGAGCGCCCGGGCGGGGACGCGCGCAGGTTTGCGCCGCTGGGTCCTGCGCCTGAGTCCCGGGACCCGCCCCCGCGTCGGAGCGGCTACTGTTTACTTTCGATCGAGTTTTTCCTGCTCGGGGCAGGTGCCCGCGGCGGCTCCGGACGGGCGGTTGGCGCGTCACTCCCGCGCCGCCGGTTCCGCGCTGCCTGCCGCCGGGAAGGGCGCTTCGCGGGCGTCTCCAGGCGCGCTGACGGGCGTCCCGTTTGTGCCCAGGTGATGACGGCGGCGGCATGGAGTTCCCTGAGCACGGCGGACGGCTGCTGGGCCGCCTGAGGCAGCAGCGCGAGCTGGGCTTCCTGTGCGACTGCACCGTGCTGGTGGGCGACGCGCGCTTCCCGGCCCACCGTGCCGTGCTGGCCGCGTGCAGCGTCTACTTCCATCTCTTCTACAGGGACCGGCCCGCGGGTAGTCGCGACACGGTGCGGCTTAACGGCGACATCGTCACGGCGCCCGCCTTCGGCCGCCTGCTGGACTTCATGTACGAGGGCCGCCTGGACCTGCGCAGCCTGCCTGTCGAGGACGTCCTGGCGGCCGCCAGCTACCTGCACATGTATGACATCGTCAAGGTCTGCAAGGGCAGGCTGCGGGAGAAGGACCGAAGGCTGGACCCGGGGAACCCTGCCCCTGGGGCCGAGCGTGCTCAGCCACCGTGCACCTGGCCTGTCTGGACCGCTGACCTCTGCCCAGCTGCCCAGAAGGCCACGCTCCCCCCAGTTGGGGTCAAGGCTGCCCTTCCTCCTCGAGCATCTGGGCCTCCTTCCTGCCAGGTCCCAGAAGAGTCAGACCAGGCCCTGGACCTGTCACTGAAGTCTGGCCCAAGGCAGGAGCGGGTCCACCCACCCTGCATCTTCCAGGCACCCCTCTGCGGCGGGATGCAGCCAGGGGTCCAGCCACTGGTGAAGGATGAGCGGGACTCGCTGTCGGAACAGGAAGACAGCAGCAGCTCTAGGAGCCCCCACAGCCCCCCGAAGCCACCTCCTGTTCCCGCAACCAAGGACCTGGTGGTGGGCTTGCGGCCGCTGCCGGTCAGCGGGGAACGCAGCCGGGAGCGGGAGCTGGAGCTGGATGCAGGGCGGGGGGCGAGTGAGGACGAGCTGGGGCCTGGCGGGCCCCTCTGCATCTGCCCGCTGTGCAGCAAGCTGTTCCCCAGCTCCCACGTGCTGCAGCTGCACCTTAGCGCCCACTTCCGTGAGCGGGACAGCGCACGACCCCGGCTCTCCCCGGACGGCACGGCACCCACCTGCCCGCTCTGCGGGAAGACCTTCTCGTGCACATACACGCTGAAGAGGCATGAGCGGACACACTCGGGTGAGAAGCCCTACACGTGTGTGCAGTGTGGCAAAAGTTTTCAGTACTCCCACAACCTGAGCCGGCACGCCGTGGTGCACACTCGGGAGAAGCCGCATGCCTGCCGGTGGTGTGAGCGCCGTTTCACGCAGTCCGGGGACCTGTACCGTCACGTCCGCAAGTTTCACTGTGGCTTCATCAAGTCCCTTCTGGTGTGATGCCTCCCTGCGGGTCCTGAGGGTGCGGTGGAAGGGAAGCGATGGGCCCTCCCAGGTGGGCCATCAGCATGGGGTGTGAAGCCTGGCCAGGTGGAAGTGCCAGCTCAGGCTGGATGGCTCAACCCGCCCGGCAGAGAGCATGCTGCCTGCCACTTCCTGGAACTTGGCCTTAGACTGGCGACTTGGGCAGCCCTCCTGCCACCTCGCCTCTCCTTCCCCTCACTCCCCAACTCACTCCAGCCCCCAGGCTTCCTCTCCCATCCCCTCCAGCCAAGTTCTGAGGGGTGTCCAACCAGCACCTGGCCCTGCCCTGGTTTCTCCGTGTGAGATGGCACCTCCCATCCGGGGCTTTCCTGACCACCTCTCTGGCAGGCTTCAGGAGGTCTTCTTGAGCCTGGCCCCTCACTAGGGGAATCATTCACATGTCAGAAAAGTTGGTGTGTGTCCTGATGGGGTGCTGGGAGGAAACAGGACACTCCTGGGGGGCAGCAGCAGGAACCCCTGCCAGGAAGGCCTGGGGCACACTGAGTGCCAGCAGGGGCCATCTGGGCACAGCTAGTGTCTGGAGGGGGAGTGCAGCCCCAGCAGGGATGCTAGAGCAGCAGGGGTAGCCAGCTAGGAGCTGAGTGGCTTTGGCGTCATTATCTCTCGGGTGGGATGTGAGTCCATGAGAGCGTGCAATCATGACTACACTGTAACTTCGATCAGAGAGTGGGAATTTGGAACTGGATTCTCGTTTTGCTTTTTCTTTCCTTTTTTTTTTTTTTTTTTTTTTGATATGGAGTTTTGGTCTTGTTTCCCAGGCTGGAGTGCAATAGCCCAATCTTGGCTCACTACAACTTCACCTCCCGGGGTTCAAGCGATTCTCCTGCCTCAGCCTCCCACGTAGCTGGGATTACAGGCATGCGCCACCATGCCCAGCTAATTTTGTATTTTTAGTAGAGGCAGGGTTTCTCCATGTTGGTCAAGCTGGTCTCAAACTCCTGACTTCAGGTGATCCGCCCGCCTCTGCCTCCCAACATGCTGGGATTACAGGTGTGAGCCATGGCACCCCACGGAGAACTGGATTCTCGAGACCCAGAAAGAACCTCCCGAGGGGGCCAGATGGTCTGCTGGTGACTGCCCAGCCACGTGCCTCCCTGCCTGAGTGCAGGTCTAGGAAGTCTCTGGGCATCCCCAGAGTGGGGCCTGGGCCACCGTGGGCCTTCCTTTGAAGGTCACTCTACCTGCTAAGGGTCTCCCTGGAGCTGTAGGCACTGTCATGCACTGACTGAGCAGCGGCCAAAGGTTGCCCTGTTTGCCGGGAGCAGGGTTTGTGGGCCCTTTCCTGGGTGAGGCGTGGGTGAAAGTGGCCCTGACAGCAGGGGTAAGGGCAGGTGAGGAGCAGGAGTCCTTCATGCACAGCCTTGGGAGACTAACGCTCCTCAATCATGAGTAGAGTGTGAAGACCACGCCCCTTGTACATGTCGCTGGTTCAGGTCAAGAGCTGCTTCGCCCACCTAGTCACCAAGCAAATCTTGCTGCCAGAACCTCACTGGCCTCTGGGGGTCAGCAGGTGCAGAGTCACGTGGATGCCTGGAGACCACCTGGGCTGTTTCCTCTGACCAGCAATGGCCTTGATGACAGAGGCCAGCCGAGTCTACATTTTTTCCCTTCTCCTGACAACACTGGATGTCATATTTATTAGTCAGCCTGGTCTGCAGTAAAAGACTGTCCCTAACCCATCTCCCACTCGCCCTGGGCTCCTGGTATGCTGGGTGCCAGCCTGGGAGCCCAGCACCTCTGGGTGATGCCCCAGGGCTCAGATGCCCTGGATGGCTTTGGTCTTGAGACAGCTGGGGGTGGGGCCCTGCTTCTGATTGTCCTGGGCCTCGGCCCCCACCTCTGCAAGAGTTCCGTGTGATGTGCTCCATAATAGTGTGTGTGTGTCGAGCACATGGCAAGGCCCAAGGCAAGCCGGTGCCCCGCAGATGGGCAGCCACACTGCCGCCCAAGCACGGAGGTGTGGCCGAGGCACTGGTCTCCCACCCTCTGCTGGGTGGGCAGCCTGCCCTGAGCTCTCTATCAACACTGGGTTTGTTGTCTTCTGCACAGCTACTGTGAAGAGAATGTAAGGAGAAGTGGTCGGCTTTATGATAACTGACACAGCTGGGACGAAATATATACATGTCCAATATTTAAGACACTAATTGTGTGGGAGAGTGTAGTGGAGGCCCGTGCAGACGCCAGGCTAGTGGAGTCAGCAGTGGGGGGATGCTCTGGGGACAGCTCCAGGCTAACCCCAGAAGACAGCTGTTGGTGTACAGTGCCCAGGAGGTATGGGAATGGGTGCTGTCTTCCTGTTTTCAGGTCATGGTGACAGTAATAAAACCCACCTCCGGTGGAAACAGCAATGATTATTCCTGGGGACGCGTGGGGGACTCCCAGATGCCACCACACGCTCATGCTGCTGGGTGGGGGAGACTGGGACAGGGCTGAGGGGAGGTGGCACCCCCTCTTTCCCCAGGTTTGTCCCTGACTGCCAGCATTTGGGGGAGGGGGCCCAGGGAGGCAGATCTGTCAGGGAGGCACAGGACATGGGCTAGCTTGGCAGGGGAAGCCACAGGGACTTCTTGCCCTGGGGAAGGAGGCTGGACCCTGGAGGAAAGCTGTGAGCCTGGGGATGCCGTGGCCCTCCCCACCACCCTACGCCCTTGGCCTCTTGCGGGTGGAAGGTACAGCGATTGCTAGAGCCTTGTGGCAGGCTGGGCTGGGCTCTGGGCTGATGAGGCTGGGGTGGGCAGTGCCACTCCTCCTCCTCTGCCCTGCTCCCTCCGGAGGCCCTGCAGGGGGTCATCAGCCCTGAGCCTTCCCCTGGAGGGAGCACAGCCTTCTTTTCCAGGCCAGCTGGGGCAGGGCCTCCACATGTGCTATAAGCTTCAACAAAGTGCCCCCTTGGCTTGAGAAGAGCCAGGGTAACCCCCAGGTCCAGGACAGGGTTGGGACGGTGCTGGCCAAAGGGTCTCCAAGGTCAGGCTGCACTGGTGTGCAAGGGCCTCCACTGGGCCAGCTCCTGCTGCCTTCCCAGTCCTGACCCCAAATGCGGGTCCTTCCTTCTGGGAGGTGGTGCTGGCTCCTCCCCTACCCCTCCTGTGTCCACCCTGCCTCCTGCTGAGCCTGGTCCAGGGCCCTGTCCTGCAGGGAGGCCTTGTCATGTTCCCAGCTGGGCCCATGACTCAGCCCAGAGGAGGAGGCTGTTTCTATACCAACCAGGCAGGAAAGGAGGGTGGTCTAGTGTCCCCTAGCGGGCATGGGGCTTCCTGGGGCCCCTCCAGCCTGCCCACACTGTGCTCACAACTCAGCTGGCTGCTGGAGCTGTTGCCAAAGCTTTCGGCTCCACTCCTGGCACCCTCCTTGAAGGCCATCCAGCCAGCTTCCTTGGCTGGATGGTAAACTGAGGCACATGGAAGGGACCAGTACTGCCCACGGTCCCAGAGCCAGTTGGTGGCAAATCCAGGACTTCTTCCACAAACTCCAGGTACCTCAAGCTGTCTGCCCACAGTGTTGGGCACAGGGCCTCAATGCTGTCAGAGGCACGGTGGCAAGTTGGGGCAGCAAGGACAAGGCCAGAGGGAAGGAGAGGGTTAGACTCTGTGGAGACAGAACCCCAGCAGGCTCCCCGGGAAGGGTGAACTCTCACGAGCCTGCGAGTGGACAATATGAACACAGGCACCAGGCAGGGGCCGGCCCCCCCCAGAGGCCCGATCACATCAGCCAGGTGTGTGGACACCACCCTGGGGAAGGTGCCTTGCAAGTGGGAAGCAGCAGAGTCGGCAGCTTTGGGCCCTCCCTCCCGCCGCCTCCCCAGCCCCCTCCCGAACACCCCGGTCTCACCTCTTCCCGGCATTCCTAAATGGAACTGAGTCCTTCCCAGTAGGGGGGCTCCACTCCACAGACACCCCTGGCCAGTGCAGATATGGCTCTAACCCCTGCCGTCCCAGCTCTCAGGGGTGAACTCCAAGCCCCCAAGGCCTGTCTGCCCTAGTCTATGACTTCTCTCCTCCCCACCTCAGTCCCATCTTGGTGAACACATCCCACACTGTCATAAGGGTCATCATCATCACCATCACCCTGCCCCATGGAACCAACTGTCACCTCCAGCATCACCTTTACCTCCACCACCATCACCTCCACTTCCACTACCTCTTCCATCACCATCACCTCCACCATCACCTCCACCTCCACTACCTCTTCCATCACCATCACCTCCACCTCCACCATCACCTCCACCTCCACCATCACCTCCACCTCCACCATCACCTCCACCTCCACTACCTCTTCCATCACCATCACCTCCACCTCCACCATCACCTCCACCTCCACCATCACCTCCACCTCCACTACCTCTTCCATCACCATCACCTCCACCTCCACCATCACCTCCACCTCCACCATCACCTCCACCTCCACCATCACCTCCACCTCCACTACCTCTTCCATCACCATCACCTCCACCACCTCTTCCATCACCATCACCTCCACCTCCACCATCACCTCCACCTCCATCACCTCCACCTCCACTACCTCTTCCATCACCATCACCTCAACCTCCACCATCACCTCCACCTCCATCACCTCCACCTCCACTACCTCTTCCATCACCATCACCTCCACCTCCACCATCACCTCCACCTCCACCATCACCTCCACCTCCACTACCTCTTCCATCACCATCACCTCCACCTCCACTACCTCTTCCATCACCATCACCTCCACCTCCACCATCACCTCCACCTCCACTACCTCTTCCATCACCATCACCTCCACCTCTACCATCACCTCCACCTCCACTACCTCTTCCATCACCACCACCTCCACCTCCACCAGCACCATCACTACCTCCTCCACCTACACCATCGCCTCCACCTCCAGCATCATTTCCACTACATCCATCACCTCCACCTCTACCATCACCCTCACATCCACCATCACCTCCACATCCACCATCACCTCCACCTCTACCATCACCTCCACATCCACCATCACCTCCACCTCTACCATCACCTCCACCTCTACCATCACCTCCACATCCACCATCACCTCCACATCCACCATCATCTCCACCTCTACCATCACCTCCACATCCACAAGCACCATCACTACCTCCTCCACCTACACCATCGCCTCCACCTCCAGCATCATTTCCACTACATCCATCACCTCCACCTCTACCATCACCCTCACATCCACCATCACCTCCACAACCTTCTCCATCACCATCACTATCTCTTCCATCTCCATCACCTTCACTTCCAGCACCATCGCCTCCACCTTCACCACTGTTACCTCCACCATCACCTCCACCTCTGCCATCATCTCCAGTTCTACCATCACCTCCACCATCACTTCCACCTCTACCATCACCCTCACATCCACCATCACCTCCACCTCCTCCACTACCTTCTCCATCACTATCACCTCCACCTCCACTACCATCATCACTATCTCCACCTCCACCATTGCCTCCACTTCCATCATTGCCTCCATCTCCAGCACCACTGCCTCCACTTCTACCACTATTACCTCCACCATCACCTCCACCTCCACCATCACCTCCACATCCACCATCACCTCCATCTCCACTACCAGCATCACTATCTCCTCCACTTCCATCACCTCCACCTCCAGCACTCCACTATTACCTCCACCATCACCTCCACTTCCATCACCTCCACCATCACCTCCAGCTTCACCATCACTTCCACCTCCACCTCTACCATCACCTCCACATCCACCACTCTTCCACCACCATCACCTCCACCTCCATTACCTCCACCACAACCATCATCTCCACCTCCATCATCACCTTTACCTCCACCATCACCCATACTTCCACCATCTCCACCATCATCTCCACCTCCACCATTGCATTCACCATCATTTATACCTCTACTTCCATCACCTCCACCTCTACCATCACCTCCACCTCCACAATAACCTCCACCTCCACCATTGAGTTCACCATCATTTATACCTCTACCACCATCACCTCCACCTCTAGCATCGCCTCCACCTCCTCCACCATCTCCTCCACCATTGCTTCACTATCACTTATACCTCCACCACCATCACCTCCACCTCTATCATTGCCTTCACCATCACCTCCACCATCTCTTCCACCCCCACTGTAGCCTCCATCTCTACCACCATCACCTCCACCTCTAGCATCGCCTCCACCTCCTCCACCATCTCCTCCATCACCTCCACCATTGCTTCACTATCACTTATACCTCCACCACCATCATCTCCACCTCATCACATCCTCCATCACCTCCACCTCTACCATTGCCTTCACCATCACCTCCACCATCTCTTCTACCCCCACTGTAGCCCCCATCTCTACCACCATCACCTCCACCATCTTCACTTCCACCTCTATCTCCACCTCCACCAACACCACCACCACCACCACCACCTTTATGGAAGATCCCCACCAAAACTGAGCCAACTCTAGGTCGGCTTCCAGGCTGAGGAAGTAGGACTTGATTACGTTCAAGCTGAGAAGTGGTTGGAGAAAGGGGTGGGATCTGCCCTCCTCACTCAGTGGAGCTTCAATATCTGCACTTCCCTTTTCTGTAGCCCTCAAGTTTCAGGATTTTTATTTTTTGAGACAGCGTCTTGTGTCGACCAGGCTGGTCTTGAACTCCCGGACCCAAGCGACCCTCCCCACTCAGCCTCCTGAGTAGCTAGGATTCTACGCATGAGCCAAGAGGCCTGGCTAGTTCCAGGGTATTTTCTCAGTTTCCCTGCACCTCCTCCCTCTCGCTTCTACCCTTCCATACATACGAGAAGACAAGTCTGCATCTCTGTGAGAGTAAGTCTGTGCCCTTCTGCACACACACCCACTGATGCCTCTGAACACAGCATAGAAGGAAGGTCTCCCCTGCAAGTCCTGGGACTTCCATGGCACACAGGACCACCAGTGCCTGCCCCATCACCCCCGTCTTGTGCTTGTAACCATGTCACTTCCCTTCTTTGGCCTCAGCATTCCCGCCTGTGAAATGGGAATGGCAGACAACTGTTGATGGGTGGATAGGGTAACATCCACACTAACTGTTGGCAGCATTGCTGCTGATGAATGTAACATCTGCCTGCCTCCCTCTGGGGCCACTGCCAGGTCAGAAACGAGCCAAGGGTGAGGAGCCTTTGGCACCAAGGCTACCCGGTGCCCCCAGACTCCCCGGGCGCCAGCTGTGCTTGAGCATTGCTGATGACTGCAGTTTGTGGGCCTCTGCAATTGGGCCCTGGCCTGGCTCTGTTCCCCTCCTCCAGCCAGCCTCTTGCTCCACCCCACACACCCCTTCTCCTCCAGCCGTTGCAGAGGGTGGTGGGGTACACCACTGTAGCG